ATAGAAAGTTTGGAATTAGAAATGAAAGGGGGGGGGGGGGATTTATCAAAACTGGAGCAGTTGTGCATGGCAACCAATCAACTCCTCTCTTCAATTTGTTCAGTTAAGATTTGAAAATGAAAGAGAGAAGCTGATTGGATGCCATGCGCAGCTGCTCCAGATTTTGTCTGCTCCACTGTTGATAACTTCCCTTGAGGGCCTGTTCACGCGACGTCCGTTTTCTGTGCTGACCTGATCCGTACGCTCCTGCACTAAAAATCCATCCCAATGTATCCCTATGTGTTTTATGGGCTGCAGTTCTCACTGCATGTCACATTTTGTCCGGTCAGGAAATGGACCGGAAACGCAAAACGCGTCAAAAACGCACTGCACTGCAGCTAACATACTGACAGCCCCACTCCAGCAACAAAACAAAAAAAATATATTTTTTTAAACTGGAATGCATCAAAAACGCGGCCAAAACGCACTGCATCAGTAGCACCGCGTCTGCAGATCCGCACCTGATCAGGACCTGATATCATGTGAACAGGCCCTCAGGGTCTGTCTGCCTATGCCACAGAATCCCAACTGACAGGCCCCAGATTTACATATTGTCAGGCTTATAACATCTCAGAACGAATGACAACAGAAGCCTGGGAGTAGACAAAGGAATTATATAATTATAGTAAGCCAAAGAACAATCAACATTCACACAATAACAAGCAAGCTTTGTACCACCTTCGCAGAAATGTGTCAACTGGATCAGGGCTCAAAATTTCCACTCGCCCGCTCGCATTTGGCGAGTGGAAATAAAGAGAGGGCGAGTGGAAATTCAGTCAGACACGCGGTCACGGATCGCGTACCTGACTATGAGAGCAGCCGCTCCTTGCTTTCCTGTCCTGGCTCCGTTACTTTCGATCGATCACCGGAGTTCTGACAGTTCTGAGCCCCGTTCGCAAGGATGGATTAGTAAGGTCTGCAGACCTTACTGCAGAGAACGGAGCTCAGAACTGCAGAGCTCCGGCCGAAAAGGAACGGAGCCAGGACAGGACAGCAAGGAGCGGTGTCAGGTACGCGATCCCGATCCGTACCTAGGATTATATAATAATGAATTGCAAGGCACAGCGAGGATCTACAAAGTGCGCCAGCCTAAAACAACAAATCACATCGTAGATTGCTGTCAAATTAGTAAAAGTTTGTTTCGTTTGGTTGCTGTTAGTTACTAAACATAGGATGTCATCACTGCTCATTATGCTGATGTATTAAAAAATAAGCACATTACTGCCAAATGCAAAGAAAACATTTTTGACATGGGAGACCAAGCTTACCTAAAGCATCTGTATCTGTTACCCCGACATTCACCCTATGTAGCCACGCCATATGAACAAAGGTATTATAATCATATTAGTTCATGGATCTTACCCTTTAATTAGATAATAAACTATTATATATTGGTTTGTTGTCACACGAGAAAAGGCCGGCACATACAGCTCCGTGGTGCGTGCACAGCCGTACCGAGCAGCTCCCGGGAAGCCGGGAATTGGCTGGGAAGCCGGCTCCATGCTCCCTCATCACGAGTGACGAGGGAGCATGGAGTCTGCTTCCTGGCTAAACAGGAAGCTGGGCAGCGTGTCATGTAATGGCACGCTGCCCGGCTTCCTGATACATGAAGTATCGGGCTAGGCATCGGAGCATTTTTGCTCGGCATCGGCACCGATACTAGTATTGATATCAGTGCATCCCTAGTATTTGTTAGTCAAAAATGATCATCCTCAGCCATTTTGCTTAGCACTGTGCAGCGGAAGCGTTCAGGGAAGCAGGTTCAGCGAACTGAAGTGCTGCAGAACAGCTACTCAGCGCTTGGCTAAGGAACTGAACACGCCTCAGGGTGGTTGGGTGCTGGTGGCGCACGTTATCCAGGGGGTGGGGGTGGTTGCAGGGTTATTGGCGGCACATTTTATGTGTTGGCTGTGCACGTTACCAGAGGGCTAAGGGGGGTGCACAGTTCCTGTGTCCAGCCTCCCGCTCAGATCTTGGCAATCAGTGACATCAGTGAGCTGGACGGGATGCCAGCCAGAGCGTCACAGGTTGCTCAGAGTTCTCCTGGGACACTCTGACCGGAAAGGGGGCTGCAGGTCACGTGACCTAATGAGACGCCGCCTGAGGCAACCCCATCAGGCTGCCTCATTATAGGTATGGCTCTGAGTGAGAGTGTATCCCAAATACAGACAGTGACCTGGTTTGAAACATTCGCTACTCTCCACAACTATAAAAAAAAACTTTTGAACATGGATACACTTTAAAAAAGACCAAAGTTATTTAAAATATATAAATGAATCACAAAACAAAAAAACAGTGTCCAGCCTTGTTGTCGAGCTCCTTTTTTATATTTGTTGCAGGATGAAATCTGCAGTTCTGATGAATAATGTGACTACAAATCCAGAGCAGCAATTAGCGGGAGGGATAGAAATGATTGTGCGAGGTTTTAGATTAGTCAGCATTAAAATGCCTGCGAATTCCTCCACGTGAAGGCTAGCTATTAGATCCGCAAGTTAAATATAATGGCAGCAGGCTGTCAGACTTCAGCAGGCCGTGCTTGCCAATTTTCCTGCACAAATGTGTTTATCGCCTTCAAACCTGATGAATTCACACACAAAGCTGATGGTGTGGCTCTGTTATTACGCTGCTTGTCACTGTCGAGGAGGACATTAATGTATGCGCAGAGCCATTCGCTGCTGATTAATGTGGAAGTTTGCAGAATTTCAATGCTAGAAACTGTGGAAAGGGTTTCGTGATGGGATCTGTCTGAGGTGTAAAACAAACAAGATGTACTCACCTGATCCTTGGTCCTGCCTGGCTGCTAGGCCGATCCTGCAGCCTCTTCTCCCCTGGGCTCCGGCGTTCTAAGGACCCGTGACGTCATCATGTCCATTCACTTGCACTGGGTGTGAGGATAGTGAGGAACAGTCCACAGGAAGATCAGAGGTGAGTGGTCATCACTGCAGGACCGAGGATTGGTTGAGAATATCTTTTTTATTTTACACCCTAGACCAAAATGAGCTCTGAACCCTTGTAGTACTGCATGGGTTAATTTTTACTCTGCCCGCAGTTCTTCTTTAGGCCTCATTCCCAAGACAATCGGCCGGCACGTACAGCTCTGCGGTGCGTGCACGGCCGTATCGGTCAGCTCCCAGGAAGTACAGGTGCTGCGTGTGATTAGTACGCAGCCCCTGTCCTTCTCTATGGGACTATGCAGCCGTACGCCCCCCTATG